GAGTAGGATTATAGAGTAGGATTTCTCTCCTCCTGTGCAGACTCCAGACAGCCCATGGCACCAGTGTGTGCTGTGCCCAGCACGGCGCCGCTTCCCCTCAGGAGCAGCCAGCTGCCAGCTTGGCTCTGAGAGCGGAGGATTTGCCTGGGGCCAGCAAGAGGCAGCCAGGGCCAGGCTGCTGCCTCTTGCAGCTCCAAGGGCCTCCTTCCAGCCTGCCTCTGCCGAGGCTCAGGCTTCTCCGGGCTCTGCCAGGGCTCTGCTGGGGCTCCAGCCTGGCCAAGGCCGGGCCCGCTCTCACCTCACAGTCGCTGACAGCTCTGCACCACAGGAGACCTTGCACAGCACCCTCACTGCTCTTTCTGCTTTCTCTCTTCAGCCAGACTCTCCTCCAGCCAAGGAGATTTCTCTTAGGGATACAAATCCAAGTGGCAGGAACCCAAATACTCTCGAGTCACATCTGCACAGCCTGCATCTGCACAGGATGTTTGCGTTGCACCGCTCCTCCTTTGGTTTTTCCTGCAAATGCCATTGCTGTTTCTGCCTCAAATAGAAATGCCAGAGCTGGGCAAAACTTGTCCAGTTGGCCATATTCCAAAGGCAGTGTGGTCTGGAGAGGATGAATGAAGAGGAGCCTTCCCCCCTTACAAACTGTACCAAAGAAGCCATCAATGTCACTTTCCACCTCTAAGAAAAAACTGACAATTCAGAAGGAAATGTTGAGCTTTCTCACAGGGTCAGAAGGAGAGAAATGTTCCAAAGGAGTTGAGATTTGAGAAATTTTATTTAAAATCCTACTCTACAATCCTACACTACAAACCTACACTACCATCCTGCACTACAATCCTACTCTATAATCCTACTCTACAATCCTACTCTATAATCCTACTCTACAGTCCTACTCTAAGTTGGTCATGGAGAAGACAGTTTCTAAATTAATTGTTGCATTCCTGCCTCCTCCTTCCACTTCTTCACTGCAACGATGAGAGGTGCCAGGCTGGACCCAGGCATGGCCGATGTTATAAATTGATGCTGCAGAAAGGAAAAGAAAACAACAAGAAAGCATGATTTTCCAAGCTAAGAGCTTCAAAGGCAGGGGAATACTTTTTAAATGAAAAGGGGATTGAGTCAGAGTAGGTCAGGAGCATGGGGCAAGAGTGGCACAGGTAGGTGCTGGTAGGTGGCCCATCCCTGGAAATATCTGAGGTGTGAGTATCCTGATCTCTTGAAAGATGTCCCTGCTCATTGCAGGACACAGACTAGATGACCTTTCCATGTCCCTGTGTGTTAGTTTGAGATGAATTGACATTTAGGGAAAGAAGTAAGAAACCCCACGCGGAAGTGATTTCTTTGAGAGAAGCTGCTGGGAGCTTCCTCTGTGCCTGAGACAGGCCAATGGCTGGCTAGTTCTGAGAACTGACAACATTTTGCACCATTTAGAAATGAGATGCGCCTCTGTGATGATGCACATTTTGAAAACCAGCAGCCCGGGCACTGGCCCTCTTTGCTTCCGGAGCCCGAAGGTAACGGAGCTCTGGTGAGGCCGGCCCTGCTCGCCCACGGCCTGTGCTCCTGGGGGAGGCCGGGCCAGAGCCCAGCGGCTCCCGGGCGGGGGATGGAGGCTGCGGGACCCCGGCCCCAGGCTGGGCCAGGCCACGGCTGCTGACATCTTGCCCACACTAAACCCTCTCCCCGGCGTGCAGCGACGGCTCCAGGCCGAGCCTCCCCTCCCAGCGGCTCCCGGGCAGAGAGAGGGGCTCAGCACAGCCTGAAATCCAACACCGTGACTGCCATGACCTGGGTGAGATTGAACCCTTTCACTGCACAGATGAGACCTTTCTTACTCTTGTGGGCCTGATAATAAAATTTGTTATTCCTTTGAAGTTTGAAGCCTGTTTTGCCCTTCTCCTAATCCATAGCTCCCAGCAAGAAATGAGTAAGTGCCCTGGTGATTTTAGCCAGTGCTAAAACCCAGCACTCCCTGCCAGCCCAGCCCAGTCTAGGATTGCTCCCCACTGTCAGCTGAACAGCACCAAGGTTGGAAGGGAGGAGGATGGGGGCTCATCTGATGCCTTGGATTTCAGTGGAGGAGGAGCCCATCCCTGGGACACTGTTTCACCTGCAGCCCTTTTGGCATTTTACCTGCAGCAGCTCCTTGGCAGACCAGCGCTGCGCCTCGCCTTTCTGCAGGCAGCAGCTCAGGAAGTCACGCAGCAAAGGCGAGAATTGCTCGGGCTGCCGCAGCTGTGGGCTCCCTTCTGTGGCTATGTGGAATTTAGCCTGGAGAAAAAGGAAACACAAGGCTCCACCTGCTTCTTTCCCATCTGGAACTGCTCTCCCAGAGCCCATTGTTCCAGCTCCACTCTGCAGTGGCAGTTTTTGCCCTGGCAGAGAGGCAGAGATGACTTTCCTGTAGCATTTGGATGACGACTTTCCTGTATCATGAAAAAACCCAAGCCCCAAAGCCACAGCTTTGCCAGCATCCAGCAGATCTTGTCTTGGCAGCTGATTTCATTGCCTGCTCTAGTTAGTGGCAACTACATCAGCAAATACGTGTTTCCTTCTCAGAGGATTCCCAGCAGCTTGGCAGCCTTTTTGGAAGAGGGATTTTGCTATTCTAACTAACTCTACTATTTCCAAGGATTCTTACATGAAAAGAATCTCTGCAGTGCTTGTTGGTCCCTTAAGCACAGCTGCCATAAAACAAAACTCATCAGGCTTTTTGTCCTGTTCTTGAAAATGATGGTAATTGGAAGAAAAGAAAGGAAATGCAGCAGGTGTTCCTCAGGGAAGGAAACAAACCTTTGGAATCTCATTTTCAACACAGACACATTAAGATGCCTCCACAAATGTATTGGGTTGAAAATGCCTGTTTGGGCACACAGGAGCCACCTGCAGCTCTGTCTCTCAGCACTCTGAAAATTTCAGGTTCCCTTATGTGGCAAAAGGAAAATATTCATGGTGAAATCAGAAGTGTCATCCCTGTGGTAAGCCTGTGCTCGTTGGATTCTCAAGTCAATGCATTAACGCTGTGCCCATCCCAGAAAGTGCCAGGAAACAAACAGGAGGTTTTGGCAGGCTCTCCCCGTCAGCAGGCTCCAGCTTGGTGATATGGAGAAAGTGGCTTGGGTTAGGAAAGAAGGTGGTCACTGAGTGTCTCAGCAGCACTGCACAAGAAGCAGAAGAGACTCTGGCTTTACAGCCTCATCTCCAGGTTTCAGGTAAGTTTCCCTGTGAGAAGAATGGGGCTGCACTTCTCTCAAAAGCACTGTTTTAGAAACTTGGTTTGGTTTGAGTTTCTTTGCTTCATTTCTGGAAAGATAACAGCAGCTCTGAGACGCTTGTTTCCTATTCTTGGGGCCATCTACACAGCCAAAAGGGCTGGAACAACTTCTAAGGCAAAGCAAAATGCTGCCTGAGGATGGAGATGGTTTGGGCGAGGTAAGGCTTGAGTTCCCCCAGTGCTGCAACCAAAGCTCCAGCAGATGCTGATGTGCTGCAGGGACATTTGTAGAAGGGGCCTTGGTGGAAGTACTTCCAGCAGATGGCCATGGGATTTTGTGCAGTGAGCAGAGAACACGGGACAGGTGAGAAAGACAGCGGGATCAGAGAGTATTTGCTCCTTACCGATCGAGCAGTGAAACTGTCATAAGGAGTTTTTTGTTCAGCCATTTCAATTGCCACAATTCCAAAAGACCACACGCCCACTTTGGGGCCATATGGTTGACGCTTCACCACTTCAGGTGCCATCCACCAAGGAGTCCCGGTCACCGAGCACCGCTGATTTTGCTCAGGGGTGAGCTGAGCAGAAAGGCCAAAATCAGCTGAGGAGAAAGCAAAATACTCTTTTAATTTTCATACTGTCAATTAGAAAACCAAGGCAAAGAATTCCCCAGTAGAAGTTTGAGAATGTGCAGTTGAATTTCCTGGACAACAGACCCTACTCTGTTTCCTTGGGGCTTTAGCCAAGGAAATATGGCATTGGCTACTTAAAACATCTCCACATTTTTTACACTTCCTCCAGCAGTGCCTTTTGTTCTCCTGAAGGTTTAGATTGCAGCTCCCTCCCTCTGGAAGGAACACACACAGACACACACAGAGCAATAGCACTCTTGGCTGCTTGTGGTTCCTTGTCATAGCTGTGTGCACACTGCAACTGTGCCTTCAGCCCACAGCAGGGGGGACCCCTGCACTGCCAGCAGCAGCATTTTTGGGGAGCTGGCAGTCACTACACCTTTGCTTCAGAGACAAGGAATGTCATGCAGACAGGCAAAAGTTTAGCTAGGCAAGGTGGAGAAGTGCAAATGCCAATGCAAGAGACAGAGCTAGAATACAAGAGCAGGGCATAAGAGTACAGGATGTGAGTCCAGTGAGTGTAGGGGCACTGGCAGACAGTTCCCTTGAGATGCTCTTGCTTGCCCATAGCCGAGCAGCAGCACAGAAACCAAGCTTGGCCCATGAAATCCCTCCCGTTCTGAGCCCCTGTTTCCCAGACAATGCAGCTCAAGGCCTTGGAAGCACAGATGGGATCCCTGACCTCCCGACTGACAGCTGCAATCTCTCCTTCAGACATTTGAATCTCGTCGATGAGATCTCTCAGAGTGCCTCCGTCCATGTACTCCATCACCAGCCAGAGTTCCTCATGCACAAGGTAGCTGAAAAAAGGAAACAAGGCCATGCAGGTGAACATGCACGGCTAGGTTGGTTTTTGCTTGAGTCTTGTTTCTGGGTCCCTTGGAGACAAGGGCAGAAGTAAAGGCATAGACATTGCCTCTAGGCTGTGCAGTGTTTGCAGTCTGTGCTGTCTCAAGGAGAAAGGCAGTTTAGGAAGAGCCCAGATAAAAAACCTGTCATGCATTGCATTTCTGGAA